CACTAGGGGTAATAGTGAGTGGTACCACTCCTGTTTCTACCCCTTGGTTCCTGGACCTGTGAATCCTGGCTATTGAAGAAACAGTACCATATATTAGATGCTGGTTAAGAGCATATACAGCCTCCTGGAGAACATTGCCCCAACCCTTCAAGGTATTGCCACCTAGTTGGTGCCCTAATTGTGTTTTCTGTAGGCCATTTCATTGTTCTGTCAAGCCTGCTGCTTCAGGATGATGGGGAACAAGGTAAGACCAGTGAATTCCATGAGCATAGGCCTGTTGTCATACTTCATTTGCTGTGTAGTGAGTCCCTTGATCTGAAGCAATGCTGTGTGGAATAGCATGACGGTGTATAAGACACTCTTTAAGTCCATGGATGGTAGTTTTGGCAGAAGCATCACGTGCAGGGAAGGCAAATCCATATCCAGAATAAGTATCTATTACAGTAAGAACAAAATGCTGTCCTTTCCATGATGGAAGTGGTCCAATGTAATCGACCTGCCACCACGTTGCTGCCTGATCACCCTGAGGAATGGTTGCATATTGTGGACTCAGTGTTGGTCTCTGCTGCTGGCAGACTGGGCACTCAGCAGTGGCGGTAGCCAAATCAGCCTTGGTAAGCGGGAGTCCATGTTGCTGTGCCCATGCATAACCTCCATCCCTGCCACCATGGCCACTTTGTTCATGAGCCCATTGAGCAATGACAGGAGTAGCTGGGGAAAAAGGATGGCTGGTTTCCACTGAACGTGTCATCCTATCCACCTGATTGTGGAAGTCCTCCTCTGCCAAGGGCACCTTTTGGTGGGCATTCACGTGACACAAATATCTTTACTCCTTTGGCCCATTCAGAGAGATCTATCCACATACCTCTTCCCCACACATCCTTATCACCAATTTTCCAATCATGCTCCTTCTAAGTCCCAGACCATCCAGCCAAGCCATTAGCCACAGTCCATGAATCCATATATAATCGCAAATCTTGCCATTTCTTATTCCATGCAAAGTGAACAGCCATATGCATAGCTTGAAGTTCTGACCATTGGGAGGATTTCCCTTCACCACTGTCATTCAAGGAAGTCCTAGAAAGAGGCTGCAGTGCTGCTCCTGTCCACTGTGTGGTGCCTGCATATCACGCAGAACCATCTGTAAACCAGGCACGAGTTTTCTCTTCCTCAGTCAACTGATCATAAGGAGCTCCACATGAGGCCATAGGTGCAGACTGGGAGAGGGAAGGTAATGCGATTGGAGTGGAGACCATAGGCATTTGGGCCACTTCCTCATGCAACTTACTGGTGCCTTCAGGTCCTGCTTGAGCCCAATCTCTGATATACCACTTCCATTTAATGATGGAGCACTCTGCGCATCCAACTTTATGACTCTTTGGGTCAGACAACACCCAGTTCGTGATGGGCAACTCAGGCCTTATGGTGACTTGGTGGCCCCTGGTTAGGCATTCAGTCTCTACTAAAGCCCAGTGACAAACTAAAAGTTGTTTCTCAAAAGGAGTGTAGTTATCTGCATAGGATGGCAGGGCTTTGCTTCAATATCCCAAGGGTCTGCATTACGATTCACCCATAGGGACCTGCCAAAGACTCCAAACTTCTCTATCTACTACAGACACTTCAAGCACCATTGGATCAGCCAGATCATATGGCCCAAGTGGCAGAGCAGCCTGCATGGCAGCCTGAACCTGTTGCAGAGGCTTCTGTTGTTCTGGGCCCCACTCAAAACTAGCAGCTTTCCAAGTCACTTGATAAATAGGCCCCAGCAACACACCCAAATGAGGGATATGTTGCCTCCAAAATCCAAAGAGGCCCCCCTGACATTGTACCTCCTTTTTAGTTGTGGGGGAAGCCAGATACAATAACTTATCCTTCACTTTAGTAGGAATATCTTGACATACCCCACACCATTGGACCCCTAGAAATTTCACTGAAGTGGAAGGTGCCTGAATTTTTGCTGGGTTAATTTTCCAACCTCTAGCACACATATGTCTCACCAATAAGTCTAGAGTCATTGATACTTCTTCCTTACTAGGTCCAGTCAGCATAATGTCATCAACATAATGGACAAGTGTGATGTCTTGTGGAAGGGAAAGGCAAGGAAGAGCCCTACGTACTAAATTAAGACATAGTGCTGGGGAGTTGATATACCCCTGAGGAAGCACTGTGAAAGTATACTGTTGGCTTTGCCAGCTGAAGGCAAGCTGCTTCTGATGGTCCTTTGAAATTGGTATTGAGAAAAAGGCATTGACCAGATCAATAGCTGCATACCAAGTACCAGGAGATGAACTAATTTGCTCAAGCAATGAAACCATATCAGGAACAGCAGCTGCAATTGGAGTCACCACCCGATTAAGTTTATGATAATCTACTGTCATTCTCCAAGATCCATCTGTTTTTTGCATAGGCCAAATGGGTGAATTAAATGGGGATGTGGTGGGAATCACTACCCCTGCATCCTAAAGTCCTTGATGGTGGCAGTAATCTCTGCAGCCTCTCCAGGGCTGCAGTATTGCTTTTTGTTTACTATTTTTCTAGGTAGAAGCAATTCTAATGGCTTCCACTTGGCTTTTCCTACCATAATAGCCCTTACTCCACATGGCAGGGAACTGATGTGGGAAGTCTGCCAATTGCTCATTTTATCTATTCCAATGATGCATTCTGGAACTGGGGAAATCACTATAGGATGGGCTTGGGAACCCACTGGACCCACTGTAAGATGCACCTGAACTAAGACTCCATCAATTACTTGACCTCCGTATGCCCCCAGTCTGACAGGTGGGCTACAATGATGCTTTGGGTCTCCTGGAATTAGTGTCAGTTCAGAGCCAATGTCCAGTAATCCCCAAAAAGTTTGATTATTTCCTTTTCCACAATGAATAGTCACTCTTGTAAAAGACCTCAGATCCCTTTGGGGAAAGCTAGGAGAAAGATTGACATTATAAATTTTTGGCAATGTAGTGAGGTCCTTCCTCAAAGGGACCCAGGTTCCCCTTCATTCAAGGGGTTGTGGGTCTGTAAACTTACTCAAGTCTGGGAATCAATTGAGAGGTTGTGACTCTGTATTCTTGTGATTCAATCTAGGCTGCTGTTCATGTGACTTATAATTCTTCTGTTTATACAGATCAAGTAAATATTTAGTAGGTTTGTCATGTATTGCACTACTAGTAACACCATGTGCAAGTAGCTAATGCCATACTTCCATATGAGTGAGATTGTTCTGATTACTGTTCTGACTCTGCTGTCCATTGTGGTAACCATGCCCCCTTGCCTTTGTTGATTAACTGCTGCCACTTGGCCCCTACTACCATGGGGTCCAATCAGCCCCATTGTAGTTAAGTGTCTTAGTTCAATTAAGGCAGTTCCCACTGTCAAATCTGGCTTACATAAATAGCAATCACAGTAGTCTTCAAGGATGCTGGAGCTTCCTTCACAAATTTATTCCTCACCATACTGGTGAAAGGTGTGTCCTCTGGACTCTCCATTTCTGGCTCTAGGGGTCTAATCTCATAAATCCATCCTAACAGACCAATTTCCCTAAGCCTCTGTATACCTTCTTCTACATTTTACCAAGGAAAGTCTGGTACTTCAACTTGACTTAAGGTAGGCCACCACATAATCCATGCTTCAGTAAGACAACCAAATAAACTATTAGATCCTTCCCTGACCTCTTGAGCTGAAATATTGAATGAAGGATCTGTACTTAGTAGGCCTGAATCAAACTCAGACTGATCCAATGTTACATTACTTGCACCATTATCCCACACCCTCAGTAGCCATTCCCATACATATTCTCTAGGTTTCTGTCTGCACATGTTAGCAAAATCAAGTATGTCTTTTTTGGGTGTAGCATACCACCTCCTCAGTCACACTCTGTATTTCACCTTTTGGGGCTTGCTTGGACTTAACTTTAGTTATAGGTCTATCAGCAACAATGGGTGGTTGGGGCAGTATCTGAGAACATTCAACAATGTCTTCCATGGCCTCTGCTGTAGGCAATGATCCAGCATGAACAGTTGGGTTAATCCCATCAAACTGAGGTGGAGGGGTGATGGTTTTACTAATCTCTTCAGATGGGATGGATTCAATAGAATTTACAGGCTCCATATCCTGATCTTCCTGACTATCTGTCCATGTATCCCCATTCCAAAATGGGATCCTATTTTTTCCCAATCAATGCCCTCACTTTAACTTCAGACACCATTCTGGGTTGGCAATTTAATTGGCATTGTAATTCAGCCACCCTTACAATGAGACTTTGGGTTTGGTTTTCGGCAATATCAGCTCTGTTACTAGAAGAAATAAGGCTTTCTTACAGAGCACAACTAGAAACATTGAGGTCTTTTATGCAAAGGTTAAGCTGTGACTCAGCAGCCCTGAGATCATCTCGCTCTTTCACTTTGTCTAGTGTAAGTAGGACCAACCAACCAGCTTTCTTATACTCCTCAAGCTGACAGAATTACAGAAAAGTATCAAATATGTGATTACCTGGAGCCTCACTTCTCAAAAATACTTGATCTATTGGTGGTGCTATTTTGCTTATTAATGTTGCCACCTCATGCCATGGATTATCAGGGCCCTCTTTACTAACAGAGGCAGAGTCACCAGTGCCTTTACGATTAATCAATTGGAGAACCAATTTAGGAAGCCCATTCTTATGATTTTGTCTCCCTAGAACCACTCCCAGTACCAAATGTGTTAGGCTGGGTTCTCTAGAGAAGCAAAACCAGTAAATCCTATAAATATATATAGAGAGAGATAAAGAGAAATTTATCTTAGGAAAATGGTCCACACACTTATGTAAGCTGGAAAGTCACAAGTTCTTGGATCAAATGTCAAGCTGGAGGCTTTTCCCAACTCATGCAGCTGCAGGGGCTGAGGAGCTCAAGGTTGGCAAGCAGTATACTGGCTGTTGATGCCAATGAATGACGATTCCAAGATCTCCATGCTGAATGGTGGATTGTTTTGCTCATGGACAGTTGTAGGCAGCACAACACAATCCTGATCCACAGAAGAGTGAAGAATGTCTCTTTTCCCAGGATGTCCATAAATATCCTGGAAGCAGGCCAAATCCGTAGGGAAACTCCCTTTCAATGGATTGACTGCTCCAAACATATACATACATCTGATCCCATCATTGGAAGAACCCATATCACAATTGCTTAAACCACACAGAATTGTGGCCAAGCCAAGTTGACACATAGCTCCAACTATCACATCATTCTTTTACTTTTTACCCTGTCAGATAAGAAAATATGGCATCTCATTTAAATTTTATTTATTTGATTTTTAATGAAGTTGTGCTGTCTTTATTGATATAATTTTCTAGTTCATATCCTTTGACCATTGTATTGCTGAATTTTAGTGGTCTCAGTTG